TTCCGTCGGCTAGCAGTATTTCCCCATACCAGGTATCTTTCCAACGGGGCACCGCCCCAGACGTGACAAACTCTAATCTCCCGACCGGCCTCTCGGCATGTATATAGTGAATGTTAGCGTAAGTGTGTGTAAGTAAAGGGGCAGGTTAAGACAAGAAAGAGGAAGAAAAGACCGCGCGCGCCGTCCGTGGCCCGTTTGTTAGGGAACTGCTCCGGCATTCGCCTGGTGTTGAGCGGAAAAAGCACGGATAACTACCGACCATATCAGTTATTTTCCCTTTGACGTAAATAGCATTTTAGCATTATTTACTATCTATTTATTTGTTAAGAATTTTTATTTTGATATCCTTTCTTGGGCAAAAATAAACGTTTAAAACACTCAGTTTTAGTACTCCCAACAGTTGTCTATCGGTAATGAACATTGTTTTTGGTGTAGATTCAATGTCATTTGGGTATGGATTCAATGTTTTAGGAGCCAAAAACTTGCTCTTATCGCACTTCCTCCCACAATTCAAACGTTAGTTCTTGCGTGAGCGTTGTGCTTTAAATCTTAGGTGATTCCGTGCGCAACCCAAACACTCGGGTGTAAGGGGACAAGTCGATAACTCTGACATCTGTGAATGATATTCTAACGAACCATGTTCTTCCAGGAAGGTAAGATAAGGGAGGCAAGCAAGTCAGTTAATTCAAATAATTAAATGTCAGGCCACTTTTATACCTGCCGTCTCATTAAATGAAGTGAAGCTGAAGAGGGGCGAGCAGCTGTGATACCATATCAGTGAGCACGGTTTATTGCTATTTGATTCCCGGATCTCCCCACCCTTCGATTTCCTAGAGAATGTACTTAAGACACAGGACACGTTAGGTTAATTTTTTTACTAAGCCGATTTTCATATTAACTTCTGAAAATTTGCTGAACTATATACTTTTAATTTTAGGGAGTTTTTTGCACGTCATAGCATCAGCACGAGCTGTCGTTTGCGCATGCGCAGTTGCATTAAAGCGGTGCAAAACTTGAACTGCGCATGCGCAGATAATTGATTGTGCTTTAACGTTCGAGGTGGCACACACTCCCTTTTCTTGAAAGTGCCTGTGTGTCTCTATCAACTATGCTACCAAGGGTGGCAGGGTTAAGAAGCCTACATAAAATGTTGATCAAAACAGAAGACCATAAAATATCGGGGGGTGGGCGGAGGAAGAGAGAATTAAATCACAGCTACTGGTGGTACAACAGCGTGTAGTTTCTTGTCTTATTAGTTATTGTTACATAATATTCATAAAACGCGTGAGAAAATACCGCACTTTGTAATGCTTTAAAAAGCAAAATGGGAACTGGAGCGGAACTTCAAACCCGACTTGGAGGGATTTAACATGTTCAAAATACGAGAGAGTAAAAAACATATAGCAGTGCTATAACAGCACATTCACACTCCTATTGTTAACAACGGTTACTTAAATATTACAATATTGCGCGTTCTTTCCAACACTTCAGCCTTTACTTACAAAAAACATTAGAAAATTAAATAAGTGGCGTAGTTTCGTCAATTTTTAATTCCGCATGAAGATTTTGCGACCATATTATAGCCATCTTGAGTGCTGCAGAAAAATACATTAACAATTACAACTTGTGCAAAGAGAAGATATATCGATGAAATAACTTTATTTTGGAATTATGAGGCGTAAAAAATATTTGAAGTAAATTAAGTATAAAATTTAATCGATATTTAATTTACTCTTCCTATTTCCAATTGAAAAACATTCAGGGGCAGCGGTCGCAATGCCACGCGTGCGCTGTGGATCTGGGCCCGCGCCCTCAGGCACTTGTAAGCCATTCGGGGCGCCCATGATGAAAAGAGATGGATGAGGTCTGGAGCTTCGTAACCGACTTCAGCCTATGAGCTTCAGGTATCAGTATATTAGCGGGGATTTTAAACGCGGCCAGATACCAAAATTATCACCTTGTTACAAGTCATTGAAACATGTATATGAAGCAATAAAAAATATTACATAGTCTTATTTTTGGTTGGTCACCGTTGAAAATTGCCACTTTATGCCACTTTCAAAATGTTTCTCAGCACTTCTCGCTCTCCATGCAACATCATGCGGCCAGCGTGTGGTCTGTCTTTTAAAACGAAGTGCCCGTGGTGTGGTCACGTGGTTCGTGACGCAAACTGAGCTGGCGCGAAACGACCAAAAATCGGTGCGCCGGAGTAACTCACCCATGTCTTTTCACCATGGGGACGTCAGCTTGGAGCAGCATTTGCCAACTGGCGGAGAAACGATGTGGGAGCTCCGATCTCCTCCCCGAGCGCCTATTCGGAGAAGCGGTGCGAGCGAAGCCGCGCGGGAGGGAGGGGCAGACGGCGGTCGCCGATAACGAAATCCAGTGGGCCTTTGCCGATGTTGCAGGGAACATGAGTGGGAGACCATCTACAGCCATTCATTTTCATTCGGTTTGGGAAGAAAGGTTTTCTTTTGTAGATACTGAAACAATGGCGAAGTGTTTAGTGTATTCGAAAGAACTTCAGTATGTTAGCGAGTTCAACCGTCAGAGGCATTGCGCAGTTTGCTACTCAGAAAAACCCACGAAATGAAAATAATTTCTGAGAATTTACAGGTTTCCTGAAACCATGAAATGAGGAAAGGGTTTTGCAAAAAGAAGATTATAAAAAAGGAATTGAAAATGACTAGGATTTACAACAATCTCAAACAAAACTGCACTATATAAATAATCAAATCTCCAAATTCCAAAGTGACCCCTCTCGGGTGTGTATTTGAAGCTATTTATGAACATTAACTACACAAACAAAATAAAAAATTTTTTTGACCCAAAATACTTCATGGATGATTCTCTAGTCGATGCGCTGAATCCGAATCTGAAGCCAGAATTGCGTCACTATCCCCAGCTTTTTTTAAGCGAAAAACTACATTAAATTATATTTTTTGTTTTGTTTTCGGGGTTATTGTCAGATCCAAGACCTGACACATGTTTCTCTTTGTACGTTGACGCGCTTAATCCGATTCTATAGCCAGAATTGCGTCACCACCTTCCAGTCCTCTTAAATAGCGAAAAAACACCGTAAAATTGTAAATTTAATTGCTTTTCGTGATTTAAAAGAAACATAGTGGCGCAATTCTAACTTCGGATTCAGATTCAGCACTTCGATATACATAGAGAAACATGTGTCAACTCTTTGGTCTCACAACAACTCTCGAAAACAAAAATATACAATGTCACGGTGTTTTTTGTCGTATAAAGAAGTGGAGGGTGATGGCGCAATTCTTGGTTCAGATCGGATTCAGCGCATTGACATAAATAGAGAAACATGTGTTAAGGCTTTGGGTTTTTTTATTTTAGTTATTTACAACTTTTTTAGTTTGTGTGCCTGTGTTATTGGTTCGGGACAAACTAAAACTGTTGTCATATAACATTGTATAAAATATTATATTAGAATGTTAAAATTGTCTTCTTCAAAAATCTAACGTTAGAAGAATGGAAGTGGAACTACAGTACTGGTTACGATAGAGTAGGATATTAATTTGTGTTATGAAATATGTTAAATAAGTTATTGATTAATATTTTTCCCCAATTCCGTACTATCATTTGAACACTACGCCCGCCGCCGCGTCCGGCACTACCTTTGCTCCCTGGCTCGGCTCCGAGCAGGAGAGTAGATTTTTGTGACGTCACAGAGCATTGAGTCGGCAAGCCCTCTCTTGGAGGGGCGATGACTGAGAGACGAACGTAAGAGTTATTTTTTTTAAAAAGCCGTGCGAGAAACACGATTTCTCAAGGTTTTCCGTGTGCAAAACGTCTATTTTTTCTAATAAGTTCAGCATAGTGCTGATAATAGAAGAAATGTCTATGGAAATGTAGAACTACACAAAGAAGTTAAAACCTCTAGATAACCAGGACAGATTATAACGGAACATATACGGAGATAACAAAACTCATGGGATACCTCCTAAAATCATATCGGACCTTATTTTGCCCGACGAAGTGCAGCAACTCGACGCGCCAAGGACTCAGCAAGTCTTATCTGTTATTCGTAGTACTCCACGCAAACGCTGCTGCACACGGTCATTAAGTGAAGGCCTGGGCCACTGCGTTGCCCGTGGTGAGCGGTTGTGCCTAAAATTAGGTATTCTCGGCTCGCTCTTGACACTGTGGATCTTGAAATATTGAATTCCCTTCGATTTCCGACATGGAATGTCTTATGCGTCTAGCTCCAACTACCATTTCGCGTTCAAAGGCTGTTAATTCCCGATATGCGGCCATTATCACGTCAGAAACCTTTTCACAGGAATTTTAAATGAAAGCTACTACCAATATACTGCCCTTACATTTTTCATTTGCGATACTACCGTCATCTGTATATTTCCATATTGCTACCCCTTGAATTGTCACCCTAGTGTACTAGGTTGCGGAACCTTTCTCTCACCTCATTCACACATATATGTGATTAAGATAAAATAACATTTATTCACACATTTTGCACCACGATTCCTGTTAGGAAAACATTTTACAGAGATGGTCTTGCCGACGAGAATCGAATTAGAGAATATCTAATGCGTCTCTTTCGTGTGAATATCGTTCTAGTTAGTGATATTCGAATTATTTTTATTTTATTTAAGCTCTATGATACGTATTTATTGTGTTTTTATTTTTAAATTTCAGTAAATCAAATTCTTAAAAGAAGTGTTTTCAATGGCTTGAATTATAATAATAATAATAATTATTATTATTATTATTATCATTATTATTATTATTATTATTATTATTATTATTACTATTATAGTATACCAACAGTGTAAACAATTTTCTTTTTTAGCAAGAAATCGTTCACCACATTGCATTTTATGGCACAGCCCGTTCTTCTTCACTGCTCTTCAGCAATAACATTATAATTTTACTTTTAATAAGCCCCAAACGTGTTCTCCGTTCTGTGCTCCAGCCCGCGATTCGAGCGTAAGTGTGAGTGCGTGCGTGTGCCTTGGCAGGAGCCGGTGGGCGAGGTGGTGGAGTGCGGCGTGAACAAGTCGGCGCGAGCGCTCATCCTGCACCAGCACAACGCCAAGCGCGACAAGGTGGCGTCGGGCGGCGAGCTGCGCGGCTCGCCCGGCCCGCAGCCCTCCGCCAGCGACATGCCCGCCCTGGTGAGCGCTCGCTTCATTCCGTTTCATTTATTTACACAACAAACCATAGAAACTGTATGTGACGTGTGGGGCTGGATACACTAACTTCACATTACAGAACTTAACAACTGAACAAAATTTACAAACTTTACAAATTAACGTGAACAGTTCACCATGCAATCTTTCATAGCACTCCACCTCACTACACTTCACTTCACCGCACTACGGATCACTGAGCTGTAATGTCTTTCTTACACACTCGTTTTCCTCTATTTCATAACACCACTGCAGTGTTAGTAGCATATAAGTTATTTTATAATAAATTTAATTCTATTTTACCATTACAAACAATAGAAAACTCTCTGTACTACTTGTAACACGATTAATTTCCAATTAAATTAGTAAAAGAGCGGGGTTTGATCCACACATAAGGCGTGCCGTAGCGATCTCCGCCTGAAGGATTGCGGGTTCTAGTCCCGCCTCGGGCACGGTTGCATTTGTGTTCGTCCCCCTAATATATTCATATTCACAGTTACCATAATCTTCAATCCAATAGTGGTTGCTTATTGTCTAGATATTGATGCAATCTAAAATAACATTAAAAAAGGGGGAATAAGTCATTTCTTCAATACTGCTATCAAATCATATCTGTATCTCGTTCGTCGATACATACATTTTCTATTAGATATGTCCAGATATTGCTTGTCATGAAAAGTTATAAATAACGCTCGTTGCTATCTTTATTCACTGCTCAGCTAGGCAAAATAAAAGAGTAGAAAGGGATTCTTGTGATCAAGAAAACAATCGTTGAATACATTATTTAATGTTTTTAAACAAATTAAATAAGCTATTTTGTGACGCATGTGCATATCAAAAGAAGAGATTCTAGTGTAAATATTTTCGAGAGTTCAAAGGCATTATTAAATGTCAGATATTCTGGCTCTTTTTAGACTCTCTTAATGTTTAAAGATGGGTCACTTCAATAATTAGCTATTAATCGAACTATTAAATGTTATGACAATTATTTGCATACGAGTAGTAGTCGTTCTTGCACACAATACTGAAGACTTACGTCATCCAATATTCATCATTCTCATAAACTGCCAATGCTCACTTAAAAAATTCAACTATCTTCCATCACCAAACCAAGCAGCGCACCTGTTCTTTAAACAATGCCCACGATTCCATTGTTCTTTTGCAGCGTTTCGATATCTCTTTCAAGAAGGAATGGAGGACGCAATTTCAATAGACTGCAACGAGAATATTTTCAGTCAGCCGTTTCAGAAAAAACGATAATTCTTTGTTAGCACAAGTATCAATAGCAATTAATTGCATTAATGCTTCAGTGATGGAAGGAGCTTCTATTTAATTGAAAACCATTCGCAAACAAGGAAATCAAGCGTTTTAGAATATTTTCTAAATTAGAGAAATCTCTCCAAAACCTGAGAGAAAGAGACATGCAACTTTAAAAAATAAAAGGACAGAGTTGCAAGGAAAACTGTATAATATTTCTTCTTTTTGATAGGAATGGAAATTAAGACGTCATGAGTCCGTATGTCAGTGTAATGAGTGCTAAGGCACAAAATAATAGGAATTCTGCATCGTTTTACAACACCCGCGTCATTAAGGGCTCGTAAATGCACATGCAGATGTGTCATAAAATGTCACTTTTACGATCTGCTGATGATTTCTATGCACTTTCATTTGGATTCTCAGTCAGCCTGGAAATCTATTGGATGTGGTTGTAGTGATGCACAAGTATGCAACACTTTTGGACGCGATTTCTTTTTGAGTGTAAAATATGACACCATAGTATAAACGCACGTATGTAACAAAAGGCCCTTGGCGGCCCAGTAGTAAACGTGCTCGATTTCCTCGGAGCAACCCCGGGTTCAATTCCCGGGCGGGCCAAAATAATAACTGTGCGCTTTCCTTATAAATGTTACAGTATCTATTGCTGTGTGACCATGAGAAACTAACAAGACCAGAATATACGGTGAATGGATGACTTCGTCCTAACCACACGAACGCCTCATCCCGTGGCCGAGATGCTGGGTCACCAATGGTCGGACAAAGCCCGTAGCGGGCTGTTGAGCCATACTACAGGGCAATATACGTTAATGTGCAGGGTGTCAGGGTCAGGCTTATCTTGAAACGCCATGAAAGATGTCACATGATATCGTAATGTAATCATTATCTCTTTAATGCATAGTAAAATCGTTTGACTTATGGTTTTAAATGAAAGGTAACGAAGTATTCTTTAAGAAATGACTTATTGATATCTCGTATTGTTTTTGAGTTAATGTGCATTTTTTAAATATATGAAGTGAAATATTGTCAGGAAATACAAAAAGGATCACTCCATGACAATTTTCGAAAAGTGATTCGCGCGGCCATCTTAATGAAATTTTGGATCACGGTCGCGCGAATTTCTTTTCCAAAATTGTCGTGAGATGACTTTTTGTATTTTGAGGAAAACTTCACTTCACAAGTTAAACATTAATTAAAAAACGATACGAAGAAAGTGTGTTTCTTAAATAATACTTTATTACCTTTCATTTCAAATCAAAAGTAAAAAAAATCGTACCAGGCGTTAAAAATATAATACATTATGTTATCGTTCGCCAACTTTATTTGCGTCTCAAAATAAGTCACATTTGACGGCACACTGCGCTTTTACATATACTAAAGCGTCATAATTAAGATTCAACAGAAAAACTGCGATGGAAAGGTTTTGCGTATTTGTGTGCAACTATGGCCTACTCTACAAGAATGTGCCAGCGGGTTTCTGCTGTTTGCGGAATGAATGATAACAACCCACACCAACAACCTATGTATGTTGTTTTCCCTCATTGTCTGGTACAGCTTTTCCACTGATATACTATCATCAAAAAACACGTAAAAACTGCATGTCAGATATCTGCCGCACGTTTTCTTGAGTTCCAGATTCCCTTCCCATCATTTTAACTATAAATAGTTGAAAGATGAATAAAAGTGAAAAATACGAAATTTAAAATAATAATAATAATAATAATAATAATAATAATAATAATAATAATGAATTTAAAAAAGCACGAGATTAGCAATATTTGAAAAAATCTAGGCATTTTCATTCTCGAGTTATAGAAAACATTTGCAACGGTACACGAATTGCAGATATGATTTTTCTGCATTTGCTAACAAAACAGTAACTCGCCCTTACGTCCACTCCTACGACTAAAAGCAAAAGGAGAGTTCAACAAAGTGTGTGTAGTGAAGCTATATGTACGTCCACAAGCAAAACAAAGGGCCATCTCAGCATTTGTTCAATTGATCAGGGAAACTGGACAAAAACCTTATCGAGATGGGGTCATTGACACTGAAATACATTATTTGTTACAAGCATATTAAGTCTTTAAAAAAATTATACAATACAAATGTAAACTAATTCATTATATATCACCGTTTTGTTAAAATAAACATTATTTTTCTTTTACTTTTATCTTAAATTTGTGAACCGACTTCAATTGTTTAATATCATTTATGTTTGGCCTGACCAAGCTGCAAAAGCCCTATCGGCTGCAGCAAATAATGCATATATCCCCAAAGAAAAATAAATCCCCGCCTCTCCAGGGCAAGTGGAGGGAGGGAAGTCGAAAAAAAACGTTTCACGGAAACAAAGTGAAATGACCTAGCTAGCCACATAAACACTCAGTAAACAGAATGATGACCGCGATACCGTACATGAGATGCATGACCTTCGGGAGGTATAATGGTAATGTGTGGCTATATGAAAGATAAATGTATTATGTGGTGTGGGTGCACAAGGGTGAGAAGGATGCTTGGTGATAGGCACGGGTCACAATGTAAAGTTATTCCATTCACATTAAATAATTAGAATAAATTGTTAAGCAGGGTTACCAGAATTATTTTCCCAGCAGAGGAAATTTTACCAAAGATATGAGGGCATTTCGATAAATAGGAGGACATGATGTTCACGATGTAGACACTATAGACAATATACAACAATTCCAAACCTATTAACCTATTAGTCATTAAAACATTGATTATTATTATATCTATGTTAATATTAATTATGTTATGACCGTGTGTTAAGTGTATCGGATTAATATATATATATATATATATATATATATATATATATTGATTATAGACAGTTGATTTTAAATAAAATGTTTTATTCATAGGAACAACGTTTCACAGTCGGATTTAAAATTGACTGTCTATAATCAATAGATATTGTAATCCAATAATAGTAATTAAATTAATATTGCAAATATAAATTAATATTTAAAGTAAATTAATATTTCTCTGCAAAAAGAGACCAATTTTACTGTTGCATGGTATAAAACATTCTCATTGACTTCTGTTGCCTGAATAACATTTATCTCTTGATGTAATAGTAATAATGCCTTCTACTGACTGAATAGGTAGTCTACTTCTCTCATCAGTCCATTGTGAATTCATTAAAGAAAACACTATTTCAACAATGCAATTCGAAATGATGCAAAAATAAAATTGACAAATCTTTAAATGTTTAGAAAAACTGTCTAATGTTTGACTCAAAGAAATTCATCCATTAAGCATGAATCAACTGCTCAAAATATTAATTTTGTCCTCAAAGAAATGCTTTCAAGCATTGATACTGGTCAAACTATTTACAGTCTTCAATGGTGACACCTCTCTGCTGTAAGTAATGCAGACTGCTGTAAGAATGCAGAATCATCACGAAGTTCAGGTCGTTGACTTTCTTCTTCTCGAACAGCATCCACTCAAAGCAAACAAACTCATCCAAAGGCAAAGTCCATTCTTTTACGTATGTAGCACAGGAAGAGTAAAGTTGTAAAATCTCTTCGTAAACTTATCACACTTTTAAAATAAACCTTCTTCTCTAAGAGTAAAAAGTCGTATTGATATTGCAAGAGGAATAAATTTCTCATTTAATCTACTTTCTAGTTTATCTTGAACTGATTTGATTAATCTTCACAGTTCCAAAACTGAGTTTTCCTCCTTTTGTACGGCATCAACTTTTTTCTGCAATACTGACATCAAGGGGTGAACCAGACACAAACATGATTAAGCCAGTTCATCATTAAAATAGTTAAGAATCATTTGTGGTATCTGTTTCTGAGAATGGAAGTGCGCCTTAAGGGCTGGACATAAGACTTAATACTCTCTCTATGTCTGGGAAGAGGCTTAACCACCTTGTTGTAGCGTGTTCGTGCTGGTGCTTCGCAGTATAAACATGACGTTCTAAATTCAACATATCTTTGTTGCCTACATTTACATAGCAGTCACACACTTTACATTTTGCTTCATATTCACCCTTTCTTGAAGGAAATCAGGTATACTTCACTTTTACAACTGGTTCACTGAATTTACACTTTCCTTTTGTGATTCCGCCATTATACTTCATAAAAGTTACAAAAACTAAGCAAGAACAAAGACATCAATCATGCGCGGCCACTTCATACAAACAGATGCTGTTGTTGCAAAGAGTACACTGCGATTTATTTACAGTTACCTCTGAAAGGTCCTGAGCTGTTACAGTATCATCCAATCGAGAGCATTACGTCACTAGTGTCGTCTCTATGATGACGTTTAACCTTTCGATTGAATGACGGTATATCAGCTGATTTACGTCAGAGGCATCTCTAAATAAATCAAAGTATAGACTACTCGTTTCTCTGTTGTGACGTCACTAAATGAAAGCTTACGATTGGATAACTTCGCCCCCTCCATCACCTTCGTTATCCACCAAACAATAGCCATAAATATGTTTTATTTCACAATAAACCTAATGATTATTTTGCAGACCATTTATTTGAGTAAAAATGTAGTTATTCAAGACATGGAGTTCCTTTTATGAATTAAATTTTGCCAGTATTATTTTCAGTTCAATAGGACAAAAGGAGGACACTTCATATAAATTTAAAAAAAGAAAGGAGGACAGGGGGATAGTTTTTAAAAAGGAGTACACGATCTCCAAAAGGAGGACAGATGGCAACTCTGTTGTTAAATGAAAATTGGTCGCTAGATTAACTTGGATTTGTGTGAAATAGCGCTGAGGAAGGCTTAGTAAAAGCCGAAACGTTAGTACTTCAAAAATTGATGAATTTATTATGATCTACATTCAAAATATTCCTGAGTAATTAATATTTTAAAATTCCTTTTCCCTATTCACTCGCAGCTCGTAGTAGATTTCGTTGTCACTACGCCGACGTTCATTTGATAATTTATAAAGGTTTTTCGTAATAACGTTCTCTAATCACACTGGGGAACAACAGCTACTTTAGTCATCGTGCTCCGTTCAACTACTTCTCAGTCATCGTACACTTGTATTTGCTCATTGCATTTTATCCCTTCGACCGGGGCGCACTATTAGATCTCCGGAGTTCCAAGACGATCACCCTTCGAACCTGAATCTTAACCTCCATGACTTTACCATGCGTGTTTAAGCAATTCCACTACCGATATTGGTTTTTTGAATACAGATGTTTCTTTGTTAATAGTTGCACTTGCAACTTAATACCTTTACTATTAACCCTAAATCACAATTTATTTATGTGTTGCTTTTTTCTCAGAAATGGGACGATGAGTTGGCAAATCGCGCGCAGCGCTGGGCAGATCGGCGCGTCTTCCAACACAATCCCTGCAAAAGTTCTAGTGAGTAGTTTCATTTTAAATATATAAAATTATGAGAGTCACGGATGTCATCATAAACTTCAAAATCTCGTTAGAAAACAATTTTTTTTTCAAGCAGAAAGTCAATGTACACGCTTAAATGAAAATTTGGTTATTAAACGAATAATTTCTTCAAAGTTCTGTCCTTTATAAAGATTTTTTTTATTTATCACTCTCGACAAATTGTGTCTTACAATTTAAGCATTCAGATGCTTTTAGAACATGGTCTAGCATTAGTTCACCACAAGACCGAGAACCACCCGCCTGAAATGGAATAATATCTGCTGAAACGTTAGACTATCCTACAAGAATCTGAAGTGCTATACCACTTCGAGTATTTCAAAACAATATTCTCTTGTAGTCAAGCTCTTGATTATTTATTACAAACGAAATTCAATTTTTTAAAATTAAAATTTCACAAAATGTGGAAGTTTGATTTTTAGATTATAATGTATATTTACTTATAATATAAAAATGTCAACTCCACTTCTTATTTAAGTAACAATGTGATGGTGATTCAGTTTCTTTGCAGACTTTAAACGTATCCTAAGAATGTTTTCCATGTAGAGAAATGTTTCACTGAATATTCTTTTCACAGAAAAGTATCCTTTAGTTGGAGAGAACTTAGCAATGCAGCTTTCTTTCGGGAAACCTCCTGAATTATTTGGTTGGGAAAAAGCTGTTAGTGATTGGTACAATGAAGTAGAGGATTGGTCCAAGTCGTTGGTAAACAAATATAGGTGAGTTGTTTTTCCTGTACGTACTTACACATCAGAGCTCTTCAAGAAACATTTTTACAAGTTTTGAAATCCTTTCTAAGTCGTCGATTGTCTGACATTTACAAATCCATTGAAAGTATAAATGAAATGCCAAAAAACATTGCCAAACTTTGCCAAAAAATCAGACAATTTGACATCCACGTCTCATTCAGCACACCAAACAATTTCCATAGCACACTTTCCCGCAAAGATCCACCAACCTCCATCCCCAAGCCTGAAATGCGGGGTATACTCCATATCTGGCAACTGCAGTGCGCAATATATTGGCCATACGGGAATATCCTTTCAACAAAGAATCAAAGAACACGTACAAGCTCAGACACACAAAACAACACAATCACCAATGGTGTAACGTTCGGGCCCGCAAGGCCGGGCTTGCCCAGGTAAAAGAAGGCCTATTTTTAGGGGATATTTTTATTATTTTACTAACAACACTTGTGTTTGCTAGACACTTTTATAAAGAGGGCCCGGATATAAGTTTTGCGGGCGGGCCCGCACTCATTTCATTACGCTACTGCAATCACACTTGGCCAAACATCTCTTAGAACAACAACACTCATTTAATGCAGCCAGTGACGTCAAATTGTTGCAAATTGAAAACAGATACACTCACAGACTTAAATCAGAAGCCATACACATCAATAATTTATTTAACAATCCCCACCACACAATTTTGAATGAACAGATTTCTTTTCTCTCACCCCTCCTGAAGGTGGCCGCTTCCCACGCACATTAAACTCTCTGCCCGGCTCTCCTTTTTGGCCACCCAACCTGTCCTTCCCCCCTATGGCCATTTCTTAGAAAAACCCCTCTTTCTGTTCCTCCCCATTGAGATCAGTCTTTTAAATAGCATTCAATGCCCGTGACCATCGCTGTCTTGTCTGAACGGAGGCCCCCAGCCGCCCCAAAATCGGTATGTTAGTTTGATCATCTTAATTTTATTTATTTACTAATTTATGTATTTTATTTGTCTAGTCTATTTTTATTTTAGTTTACTGCACTTGACATTAGTATATTTGTTATTTCATGTAATCTTGATTAAAAATTATGTTCCTCTTTCCACATTTTGTATTCCAATTCTTCTAATTTGCTTAAATACTAATTTTATTCATAATAATATTCTGTAATAGATGATATTTTATTTGTAATTTAGAAATATTGGTATTTTTTGTAGCACTGAAGATGGTTGCAGTGCGGCTGGAAAGGCTTTCTGCAACTAAACAAATCAAATCTCAGCCTCAAATATATTGTTAAAATGAAATGCGATAAATTATTTTCCATTCAATTTGATTTGTTTTAAATTGCAACAAAAATGCGATAACTTTGGTGATATAACTTGTCAAATGAAATAACTTTTGAAATAAGTAATTTAAAAGTTTTAATTTGGTTTGATGTTACAAGGATAATAAGTGGGGATTACAAAATATATAACCGTCGTACGCAACCTCTCTATCCCTCTCTCTCCGTCTCTCTTTCTCAATCTCTGTCTGTCTATCCCCCTCTCTCTCCGTCTTTCCCTCTCTCTCTCCCTGTCACTCCGACTCTCCCTTCCCATCTCTCCCCCTCTGTGTTACTCTTCGACCCTTCATCTCTGCCTCGCTCTTCGTCTCTCTCTCTCTCTCTCTCTCTTTGTTGCTCTCTCTCTCTTCCTCTCACCATCTCTTCGTCTCTCGCTGTACCTCCTGTTCTCGCTCTGCCTCTCTCTTTCTGTCGCTATATAATAAGTGGGCATTACAAAATATATAACCGTCATATTCAACCGTACATTTTATCTTTCTTCTGCAAATTTCTTTCTTATACACTCACGACCAAACGTGTTGTTAAATTTTCTTCGATTTTAGTATGAAGGTTTCCTTGAAGGTTTTTTAAACTACGCAATGTGTACGGATTTCTTGTTTCAATATAGTGACAGTTTTAGTGGGCACGTTTCATGTACTGTACAGCTTCTTTCAACGATTAGAATTCCTAATATAACTTTATCATGTTGGCCAGGGGTTGCATAGTCACGAGCAAATGCGTTGTTTGATTTATTAATTAATTCAGAGAACCAGATTTGGCATTTTTTGCAAACACTATGCAAGCACACAATATGTTTTTAGTCAAATGTTAATGTGAAGTGTACTCCTATTTCCTCAAAAAATTGTAAATAAATTATTTTTGGCTTGTCTCACGAGGCGTGGAGAACAAACTTTAATTTCAGCACTTCTACTTATTACGCAGCGGATGGTGAGAAAATATCTAGATTTTACTTTAACCACTTCATCTTAAGTAACACATTTCTTAAATTTCTTCTTCTTTCAATTCGAACAATTAATATATTAACTGTTATATTTTATACATAAATATTTTACCCTCTTTCGTGAACGTAATGAGCAAATGTTTCTTACAACGATTGAAAACTCTTAATATTACTAATGTTGAAAGTACAACCACATATGCATCTTGTGGTGAAACTACGCTTATAAAGGATATTAGAAATTAATTTAATGATACACGAATTTGCAAATCACCACAGTCGTTTTTCCCAGGGTACGTATAAATCACGTTGTGATAGAGTTGGAAACAATAGGTAGTAGATCAAACGTGCTAATATACAATTAGGTATTTCCGTGATAAACAGGAAGTGATAGCAAGAATATGATGCTCATTTCCTGTTATTTATTGACACTATTCTTGTATTATGTGTTCAGATGAAAATGCTGAATACTTATTGGTTTATGGGAAATAAAGGTGGAACTTGTGTTTGAATTGAATTGCTACATTGACATTTTAATTTTCTTACACTTCACTCTATATTCGAATAACACAATTTACGCGTCAGCTACGTTCACTGAGTGATATAATGCAAACATTTCGTATACTTACGCATATTGAAGTATTCTTGATAAGACACACAGTAAGTGTCTCTTCGTCGCTCTCTCTCTCTCTCTCTCTCTTCGCCTCTTTCCATCTCTTTCTCTCTAAGTCTCTGTCTCTCTCCATCTCTACCTCTTTATCTCTTTCTCTCTCCGACTCTTTTTCTATTTCTTTCTCTTTCTCGCACTCTGTCTCTATCCCCATCTCTCTCCGTCTTTCCCCCCTCTCTCTCTTTCCGACTCTCCCTTCCCATCTCTCCCTCTGTCTTCGCTCTTCGCCTCTGCCTCTTTCTTTGTCTCTCTCTCTCTCTCTCTCTCTCTCTCTCTCTCTCTCTCTCTCTCTCCGTCTCTCGCTGTACCTCTCGTTCTGGCTCTGCCTCTCTCTTTCTGTCGCTCTCATACATATTAAGTTGCAGATTCTGTACTTCCCTGAGCACGTGGGATATTATCGAGAAGCGTCGGACCAACAAAAATGTAATAGAATGCTCAAAAAGATCTCATTCTGCAGATTACGGTGTGATGAACGTTTCTTAAAGCCTTCAGCATCAAACTTTTAGTTTTTAAAGCCCTAGAACGCTCCGTTTAGGCGTTATTTAACCATACAGCAAAAATCTTGCAGTGTCTTACGGGTTGCATTTGAATGGATACTTTAGATTTGTTCTGTGATCTTTTTTCGTGCATTTTTCCGATATTTTAATAGTTATTCTGCTATTCGGGGCGGAGATGAGTCTAAACGATCAGAGATAATAAAAATTGGTCCAGTCGTTTGTGAGTTATATATGGTGGAACTATTCGGACTTCGTTTTATATATATATATATA